CATTCTCAGACTGAAGTGGAGCTCTTGCTTGTTTTCAGTAGCGCGGCTGCCCCCTTTGTTAACGCTGCGTTTGGATTTCAGCTTAAAAAACAGCAGAAGCGCTTGTTATTTTCCCTGTTGACCTGGTACAGACACACACACACACACACACACACACACACACACACACACACACACACACACACACACACACACACACACACACACACACAGCCATCGCACCACCCTCAGAGATGGAGTGTGACCTCAGAACCCGGCAACACGCCCCCAGCTTTGTGAAGAAGCTTCGTGGTCCTGCAGACCCCTGGTCTTAAACCTGAGGGCCGGGGAGTCCGTGTCAGTCATAGGGTGAGACGGGTGAGGCGAGCAGAAGTGAAAGGCAAATAAAGGGAGGGAGATTGACACGTCAACCTCTTGCAATACTTTGACTGTTTAGTATAGTACCGTATTATCTGACTGTTTTGTTTCGCTTAATGCGCCTTATAGTCCGGTGCGCTTTATATATGAAAAAAGTTCGCAAATAGACCATTCATTGACAGTGCGCCTTATAATCCAGTGCGCCCTATAGTGCGGAAAATACAGTACCTGCTTTTTTTCTGACATGGCTACACACTACATGTGTTTCCAGCTTCCTGTATACTTCTAATCAGCACAGTTGCACTAGTTTCAAGAGATGCTGACCTCTTCCCCTCTGTCACCGATCTATATTGACACAGACAGCAGGCAATGGCTGATGATGATACCCACCAGGCGACCACTCCACTTTGGGAAGGCCTCGAGTGCTTCTCATTACCTCAGTTCACATCTCTTTGCTCCTCAGCTGACCCCAGACATCATTTTTTCTGTCTCAGTTCTCTGTGCAAATACAGATAAAGCTGGACTCTGAGAGCGGTGGGAAATGTTTTGACCAGTTCCACTCACTCACGTCTGAAAACAGCTAACAAAGAAGCCAGGAACATGAGGACAGGAGAAAATGTATCACTGAGGCTGATTACAATCTGCTGGCAACACTGAATAAAACATTGGAAACGCTGATTGAGAGTAATAGTAGTTCTGGTTAACATAATACACATTGCATGCTGCATGATGGTGGTGGTGGTGGTGGTAGTGACCAGGACATGTTTACAGGAGCCAGCTGATAATTGGATGACCCCAATCATTCAAAGACAAGTTGAGGATTGATCTCCATATAAACCCACACAGCCCCTGTGTTCATTCTCTTCACACAGCTTTTATCACTGTTGTCTGTGGGTTAATAGACACCTACAGTGGGTCAGAGGTGCAGTTAGGAATCCTGGCCTCCGTGATAAGAAACATTTTAAATATGAGCGGTAGAAAACACTGCTTATCTAGAGTAAGGTGAACTCTCTGGGGCTCCATTCCAGCTTCCTCTCACTCTATTCAACATTTCTGAGCATTACCTGGTTTCTTGTGCTTTATTCTACACCACTTGGCTTTTATGTCCTGTCATCAAATCTCCTCTCTAAATCAATTTAGGGTGTAAATCCAGGATTGAGATATCTTGTATCAAAGAAGGATTTTAGTTTGTCGTTCCCCCAAAAAGATTAATATCACAATCTGAATAAATGTCTTGGTGCGTTTGTCTTAACTAAATCTCTGAATATCTTTCAGCAGTGAGTGCAGTCTATTACAACCACAAACAGCTTTGCTTCACAACATGGAAATCCCCTGAGGGGGGAAAAAAAAAAGAGAAAATCTCCATCTTTCAGACTCAAAGCCTGGCACTGCAAACAGATGTGTTTTTCTTTTTGTTCGCTGGTGCGTTTTGATGTCAGCTGGGGCAGCTCAGTCTGCTTTCTCACAGCCGTCAGCTACAGAGCGATGACGATCTGGTATCTCACTGACTCATACCAGCGAAATCTCAGGCTGGACCCCTTTTTAATCTGTAGCCACCCACAGGCTGAAATCCCTCGTTCTCACCCCCTTCTCTCTCACTGTTTTCTTTGCATAGAAACGCCAGTCTTGTTGCTCTTTGTATCCTTGTCTCTCTCATCACGAAGGGCAAAGTCTTTTCACTGTGTTTACATCCAAATACACAGACTACTATGGAGATGTTAGCACACTCACCTAAAAGTGTGGGTGTAGAGGGGGTGTGGAGGAATCTTGGCAACCACAAAATGTATTTTCTCGCTGAAGATTTTTGCCAAACACAAACATCCATTAAAGAAATGTGAGCTTTTCCCTCATACTCATACTTCTAAATGGATGATTTTTCACTTTTTGTTTCAGTTGTCATGTGGAAACTTCTAGTTTATATACAACTAATTTGCACAGGCAAATATATTTTGGAGGAATTATAATTGCTGCCTGTATTACATTGACCGTGTCTTTGTTGCATGGGGCTGTTTGGTTCAGGCTACTAAAAAAATCTTAGTTAATGTTTGCTTAGGGAAAGATTGAAGACTGGAGAGCAGTGTGAGTGTTTGACACATGATCTCTGGGCGGTACAGATAAAAGACGCTGCAGCATCATCAGAGATTGATGAAACTGAAAGTTAAGACTTCACAGATGCTCAAACATAAGACAGATAAGTGCTGGGTTTGCATCAGACTAAACCAGCTGTGCTTGAAAGTATGAATGCAAATGGAAACACAAACATTGTCTCCTCTAATGTGCAAATTTCTTTTTTGAAAGCTTTTTTTATTTATTCATTTTTTTAATCAAAACAGACCTCCAGCACCTCCCCTGACTCAGAGAAACACTGACTAAACAGGACACCTGTGAGGCAAAGTGAACACCCGGATGCATTTTCTTCTATGTTGTGTTATGGAGACTTCCTACTAAAATAAACTTGATATTGCCAGAAGCACTTAATGTTGGAGCAATAAATCCAAAGTTAAACATGACAAATGAACTCCAGCCTTCCTCTGAAGAGGAGGAGCCTCTGAAAAAGCAGACAGGACACGGACACTTAGAATAAAAAAAACAAACTATAGTCAGGTATTTTGAGGTGAGGGAGAAATTCAGATTATTTAAGCATAACAGGATATAGCCTACTGTAAATCTGTGCTTGCTGTAAATAAAGCCACCGTACATCTTTTTCTTTTTCTTTTTTAAATTAAAAATTAGATTCTTTTTGGATCCTTGAAAGTTCAGCCCACATTTTGTACAAATAAATACAATTCCTGAGAGAACTTAATGAATTTCAAAACTGGGTAGCAAAGATCAACTGTTTCAGTACCCAGAAATCCTATAAATTCATATAAAAAGGAGCCCCGCCTCCATCAGTGTCAAGGGGGATGGGACACGTTTTTCTTTTGACAAACACGCAACATAACATTGTTGGGAGGAATGTCGCCTGACAACGCCACTGGTCAGTGTGCGAGGTCAGAGAAGTGAGGACGGCTTATCACCAATGCTGCCTCTCTAACAGCAACACTCACAGGTCATGATGGCTGTTATCTGTCTGAGCTGTCAGAGACAAGGTCTGAGCACATCTTTATCTGTCCTCCCCTCTACCACACTGGCTCCTGCAGCTAGACTGGTGGGTGTTTTTTCTGTGTTTGTGTGTGTGTGTGTGTTCAAGGCAGATTCCATTTGGCACCGTTGCACAATGCTCTTGAGTCCAGACATTGTGGCAGATGATTCAGTGATGGCATAATCACAAACAGAGGTGTGCAACGTCACCACAGCCCTAATCACAAAGATGATGAATCAGTTTGGGAGTTTGAATGTGGGTCAGAAAATGTTTAACATCTAGTTCAACCCATTCTCCATTTACTCAGAATTTTATTTGTTCATCAATTTTTTTAAATCCAAGCAAACCAAACGTGCAGGAGCAGCTGAACAGTGTAGGTTTTGGCGATCTACAATTACATCTTGTTGCTCTGTCTGTTGCATCAGACTGTGGGCTCACCTTTAGGGCCAGGTTGAACTAGTTCGGACAGTGTGTTTTTCCTCTAGCAGCATCAGAAAGCAAAAGTGTTTTTTATAGCCGTTCCGACTGGGCCCCAGTTGAAGGTTGGGTGAAGGGATGGCTTTCAGAGAAGTGCAACTGCTGTAGTCATTCAGATGTGGGGATAATGGCAACACCTTTTCAGACGGTATCTCTTGGAAGTTATTCATAATGTGCGCCTGTTTGTAAAGAAAGAAAAAGAGAGCTTGTGAATTTCGAATTGTTAACCCTGCTCACTTTCTCACCTCTGCACACCTAAAGTAAGGGTGACAGTGAATTTGTTTTGGAAAGTGACCGAAATTGTCGGATGCAGCCCCATTTATAATTGCAACATCAGAATGTTGTGGGGTAACGGGCTTTCCAAAGCTGTTCCACCCTACGAGAAGCACTTAAAGTTAAAGTTTATTAGCCCACAGGGACAAGTTGAGCAGCTTCAAAATCCTCACGGGACTAAAACTTTGTGATTTAAAGGATCCATCTAAGGTGGTTCGGGGCTCTCCTCAGGATGCCTTCTAGATGCCTGGGAAAAACGCGTACATTGGAAAATGGATGGTTGAGTTTTATTCAGTTCAGTTAATATATGTGGACTTTAAAACGATGTCTGACCAAATTAAAAATATGTATGACTATTTTACCAATAATACATTATAGGATTTTTGAAATATAAAAAAATATTGGCATTTACAAGTTAATGCTTGTCACAGTGTGGTTTAGTGGATTAGTTTGACTCAAATAGGTTGAACTTATTTAACTAGAGAATGACAAACATTCCTCTAACTCCAGTGATAGTGAGGGGTTTTGTTTTGAGCTGTTTGAATATTTCCTTTGATCCAAGATGATTTATTTTTCCTGCTACACTTAAAAAGAGAGATTTGGTCTTGATGTTGCAGCTCCTGTGGCATCTCTCCCCCCCATAGATCAAGGCCACACTTGCTTTAAAGGACTGGGGAAGTGAGAGAAAGCACACCAGTGAGGAGGAGCAGCAGGAACAGGGGGAGGAGGACTTAACTGGAGTGTGTTAATTTGTATCTGGGGTTGTGATGTCTGAGGGGAGGGCTGGATCAGAAAGCGGTGGTCCATAGAGAGACGCAAGGAGTCGGGTTTCAGCTTTGCGAGGGCCCCTTGAGTCCCCATGCACTGAAGCTGCCTTTGTTTGACTGGGAACCAGAGAGAGAGAGAGAGAGAGGGAGGGAGAGAGACCGAGCAAGGAAGAGGAGGAGAGTGAGAGGATTTTAGTTTGGAGTAAGTGAGAGAGAGAGAGGCAGAGTGGGGTCCATCTCTCTCTCGCTCTATCACTCTCATTCATGACCAGGGCAAGTTTACTGTGTGTCTAATCTCACCATCACTGAAGATGTCTCCACGGTAAATGAAAGGCTCAGTGTTTTTATGTAAAGAAGTTGTTTCAAGTTCACTTCTAGTCAGTTCTCTCACTCTTCAGTTCTGTTTTTTTTTGTGCAGCATTCCTCCCTGGTTCTTTGGATTATTTCTACTAGTCCTCCGGTTCTGCTGCCGTCACTCCTCTGCCTATCAGCTGCTGGACGGTATGTGCACTCTCTGTCTGTTGATTGCATGCTGCAGGGCAAAAAGGGTTTTTTTTCTTTTTTCTTCTGCTGTCGGTGAACTTTCTGCTGGCTCATTGACTTTTCATCTGCTGAATATGAATGATGAAACTGTTGCGCTCTGATCCTGCAGTGTTGCACTGACACACAGCACGGTACGACTCTGTGAAGGATGCTGAAATATTACATCAACACTAGTGTGGTCTTATTGGGACAGGTCATTTGAATACCATAGTGACACTTTGGGATATTTGATGTTATAGTAATAAAATAGTGATGTTGTATCTTAGAGAATATCAGAAAGGCAAACCAAGTTCATTATTTACTAAATACTGAGTAGCACAGACACATTTTAAGTTATTATAGTTGTAGTTTTTCTTTTTTTTCCACTGCAAGTCATCTTGTCTCTTTACTCACATGTGGATGATGAATAAAGTGCCTACATTACAAAGGTCCTGGGAAAGTGTTTAGGGGTTTTGATTCTGAGTTTTGAACACATGAAATATTTGCATTAAACTCCCCCATTTGATAAGATCATATATCCCATGGGATGCTTAATGTAAATGCTGGAGGTAGGCTGGTAACTGTGTGTAGAGTTTGGAAACTTTGCAATGCAAACTCTTGGGAGCCACTGCTTGTAGATTAGCGTCACAACATGCAGTGAATAAGGCAGATACCTGCTAGCTCCTGTGCTGTTATACGATGGTTTCAATTATATTTTGACTGAGATGTTATTCAGACCCTCTGTGTTGTGCTCTGCTGTCTCTGCACACTGTTTTCACAGCTTAAATGTAGATTATTTTCCATGATTAATGGATCAATCAGGACACTTCAACATGTTCCCAATTAGTGCAGAAAGAGCTGCAGATTTTCTTTTCCATTGCAATTGGAAACAGGCAAAACCTCACATCATGCACATTAACAGACAGGCCCTGCAGTCAGTAGCAGTGCATTATTAAGGTGGTGAAGATGATGCTACTGGTATTTGAATGTGTGTGTGTGTTGGGTGTGTGTGTGGGGTGGGGTTGGGGGGGGGGGGGGGGGGTCAGACATGAAGGTCATTGTCTTAGAGCTTCAGTTTATTAGTTTTCATCCTGGCCTTCAGACAGACAGGCCAATATACCATCACTGCTTCCGTCAGTGCGCTGGAATCCAGTTTGGCATTTGCAGCTATGAGTGTGTGTATTTGTGTGTGGATATCTTGACCTATGATCACCACAAGGACCTCCCATGTCACAAAAGCTGCATTGTCTGGGTGCAGTCAAATAATTAAGGGGTTTCTTTAGCTAATGTGGCCCCATGATGCTTAATTGTCTGGGATTTTGAATTAAACACCACTTTGGTCACACTGTTTTTGCCACAAGCCAGTGGCCACTTTGCAATAAAATCTTGTCCCTAATTATCATATGACATGAAATATGATCTTGCAGGATTGAGTTCTGACTCAAAAGAAGTTGTAGAAATGGATGTTTGCAACCCAGAACTTGACAATGGATATGTGGTGAGGTGGGTGGAGCAGGGTTGCTGTCTGACTAAAGAAAAGTTTTTGAAGTGTGATTTCATGGTCCACTTTCCTCTGCTGTAGATCCCACAGAGGCTGGATGAGCAAGAGGCTCCACTCTCAGGCTGTTTGTGCTTTTGCCATATTCATAATCGTCTGCCATGATTCACTTTTTCAAGAGGGGGAAAAAAAAATGTGTGCACACATGCCGGCTCACTTGCCAGAAAGAGAGAGCACCAGGGACAAATATTTCCAGGCTGCATGCTGTAAATATTCTTGAAAACAGAGCTGTCTCCGTGGCAACGTTCACATTTCTGTGCACGATTTGAAATAACGGTCATGTAATAAGTTTCCTTAGTGTGAAGTGGTGCGTGCTGCTTCTCTCAGCTGTGTCTGTTACTGGTGTGACCTGATGCTTTTAGGTGGTTGCAGAAGAACTAAGAAACTCCATGCACTGGCACATCAGAGTTCTATGCAAAAGCCTTTGATCATAGGTTTATGGACACGTTAGCTGGTAGTGAATGAATGGATGAATTAACAACTTAATAAGAACATTAATGTTCTGATTTATCAAGAAAATTATGTACAAGGTGGAAGACAGTAAAATAGGCAGAAGAAGGAATGGGGCAGATGAATGAGTTAATTGGTAAATATATTAGTGAATGAATGAATGTAAGTCAATGACTAAATGAATGAATGAATTACTTTTAGATCAATTACCTAATTAAAGGAAGAAAGGTTGACTTCTAATTACGAAATGAATACATGCATGGATGTATGAGTGAACCAATCGGTGACTGAGTGAATGAATGAATAAGATGAATGGATTAAAGGTTAAGGAATGAAGTACATGAATGAATGATTGAATGCAAGACTGAGTGCATCTGCAAACAATGAACAAATGCATGGATTGAGTATCAACAGAACAATTAATGAATGAATGAATGAATGAGCAGATGAATGGATTAATGGCAAAATAATTGAGTAAATAAATGAGCAAATGAATGTAGAGACAACTTCACACATACAAAGACATGTAACGAGTAATGAATGAATTGGGCAATTAATCAGTTGTTACGTAAGCAGATGAATAGGTGAATAAATTGGTAAATGAATGAATGAGTATCTACGATATTTTAAACAAGCTGTTCAAAACTGCGTTAACAAGTAAATTAAGGGTCCTGACATCAACCATGGTCGTGGTGTTTTCATTCTATAGAGAATCATAAAGTCACAGCCTCGGGGAATTAGCTGCTTTAGATTTTCACTAATGAGCAAACACATCAACAAACACAGCACTTAATATGACATCTTCAGCCTGGGGTTATTAGGTGAATCTGCACTTACACTGACATGGTCGATTGTGCATGCACATACACACACACACACACTTGCACACTTGCACATGCATGCATATGCCTATATGCCACACCCACAAGAACACACACACACACACACACACACAAACATATTGTTCTCCATCTGCCATCCACATGGTAATTATTCAAAAAAAAACAACAATGTTTGTGATTAGCTGAATGGAATGACTTGAATGCCTTGGACACAGTTGGCTATTAGGGATAATGGATAAGATGATGTGGCTGGTGATGTGACTCTGAGTGAATGTGGTTATGAAGACTACATTGTGGGTTGATTAAGATGAGGACAAGGGTGACAAGGAGAATGATGAAGGTGATTATGATGCAAGTCCTTAGAGGTCAGTAAAATGTGTGAAGGGTGTTGGTGAAAACTTGTCAGATGCTAAATTACCAACGGGGTGGACTATGACTTCATCAGATTTATAAATGACACACATTTTGAGCATTTTGAGTCTTGTGACATACAGTATACAGACTTCAACTTCATTCAAACAAATTTATCCCAAAACAAAAGATACCATTTGGTCAGACTCATTGTTTTCTTCTTTTTATCTTTCATTTGTTCAGGCAAGGTCAACTGAATATGTTTGCTTTTCCTATGGGGCTGTAGAATCATGATCCTCTTGTCACAAATAATCCAACTGTATCAACTTTGTGATGAACCAGAAATTCAGTGCAGGATAGGATGACTCTTTGTATACAGATAAAAACTCAATTGCACTCTTATTTCGCACACTTGTTCTCCACCAGTATAAACCATGTTGAAAGCTTTACCAAAGCACAGTCGACTTATTTTCTAAGTATAGAAGAGTTCATGTAATGTGAAAACCTTTTCAAAATATTCCTACTTCAGAATCAAACCATAAACTTAAACCCCTGAGTCATTCAGCTGTGAATGAAGAATAACTACTGTAGTGGTCAGTCTTATGAACCATGAATAGCTCAAGTTATTATGAGTCATCAAGTAATGACGCACTTATTGAGATGATGTATCATTAAGTGGTACAGGTTCACTTAACAAGTTAAAGTGAATATTCATTTGACTGTGGCTGCAAAATTGAGTGTTATCAAACAGTTTACAGAGATTTCATATATTATATGAAAGATTGTCTTCAGCAGGATTCTGATTTCTGAGCATGAAGAGAGTTTCTCTCCTGATGCATTAGAAAAACAAAGAGACAGCAAATACCTTGTAACAGGGAGGTAAAGACAGAAGCTCCATTATAAATCATGGTAAATATGGGTAGTTGAAGAACTTTATTCCAAGAAATAGCATCAGTAACACCTGTAGACTCGCTCTTGATGATAGTTTTGTCAACAGAAGTAAGATTACATTGAGCGTAAAGAAGTAATGTGTAAATTCTTCCATGTCCATTTGGTCCTGGCTCTGATTCTAATGAGATCCTGTTCTGGCTTCAGTTTGATGTGGGTCATCTGGACCGCAGCCCTGCACAGAGGTAACACGTCAGGTTTTGATTAGATGTGTAATTTCAGCTCGAGCACAGTGAGGTCCTCGGTCCTGTCCAACAATGATTTCATGAATGAGTAAGAAAAAACATGCACAGCGCTGGAGACTTTTAAAATCTCTGACATTTTCCTATAAATTATTGTCCAGTTAGTTTCCATCCACCACATGATATAACACACAAGTGAGTTCACTGATGTGCACTTTATTAATTTACATTTTTTTCTTTCCTGTCTGTAATCCACATTAATGAGCCCTGAGCACCAGAGCTGTCACCAAATAAAAACCAACCAGAAGACATCATGATGACTACTGCTACATGTTAGACAAGGCAAAGTGGCCAGATGTTTCTTTGACTATACACATGTGTGTTTAAACTCTGCCTGTACGTGGGCTGTATGAGTCTGCACAGAGTGGAGATGGCTTTCTCTGCTACATTGTGAGGTCATTATATAAATAATGTCTACACTTGGGACAGTGTGAATGGCAGATGCATACAAGTAATAAACTGTTGGATGCAAAACCGTAACAAAAATCAATTTTACACTGATTTTTGTTTTTGCTTTTTTCTTATACAGTGAATTTCAGTGTTTGGCTCAAGCACAATTGAGCAAGAGACATGAGTATATTTGGACTT